TTGATTATTCCGTTTTATATGAATTCCATGTTGTACGAGTCACTTAGATTTTACAAATACGTGTGCCGGGCTGTGAACGGCTCACGTATTTGTAAAATCTAAGTGACTCGTACAACATGGAATTCATATAAGACGAAAAAACAAACAGTGTTATAGGGGGGTCGACTTGTATTAATAAGTTAAACTTTAAGGTTAAATTTTGACTATAAATAGAAGAAGAGTATAAAGAATTCACTATATTTTAAACATTTAAATTGGTTAGAATAATTTATAAAATTTAGAAATAAAAGAAATATTAATAAAAATGATGTATTTACACAATTAAATTATTGATTGGAAAGTGTAAGAAAAGGAAGAGATTTTTTAATAGGTTACATTTAAACGATGCCATTTACGATGGGAATAAAATTTTGTCTATCAAACTTTAAAGGAATTTTAATCTGGAACGTCCATTCTAAAAGTTGAAAAGGTTTCAAATTGAACGTCAGAGACGAAACTTTTGAAAATGGAAAAAAGTTATGGTAAATTCCAGGCCCATGTCACCTGGGGAATGAGGTCTTCTGGACTTTCATTTCTGCACAACCTGTTCGCAGGGAGATAGCCTGGGGCTTGGCATTCGGACTCGATAGAAGGGAAGGGGAGGAGAGGCTTTGATTAATCGAATCGTCTGCGTCTTTGCACTGCCCCTCGGACATTCAATCACTCTTATTGACCTGACGTCTTGTGCAGTCCGTCTGAAGTAACGGGCAGTCGTGCTAATTCCTGGCACAATAACGTTGGACTGTACCTTGTCCCAAGAGCATCGCCGGGGATTCGCCCGGGCAATCGATAACGGCAAAAGTTGGGAGGCAGAAGGAAAAAATCAGTCTGCTGCAGATTGACAGGAGAAGTTTGGAGAAGTCGTTGGAAAGTTATCTCTCCTGTGTGCCATCCACTTGGGGGTAGAAAAACTCAAATTTCCCAGAGAAACGTTTTGGCGATGGACTAGAAGTATGTCGCGGGATTTGGTTGTTGCAGATTTATTAGAAAGGCAAAAGTACCTCGAATATCTTCTTTTTTTTTCTGGTGTTAGGCGCAGATAAAGTAAATCTATTGGATTTATTTTTCACGATTTCTTATCTTTTGTATTTAATTGTGTTCATTTCGTTGAATTAAAACACTCCGATCCTTTTAAAAACATTTTCCTTAAAATTAAATATTTTTTTTTACTCCAAAAATTTTCTTTAAATTCCATAAAATACTTTCTTATTTTCCGTAGATTTTATTATTTTTAAATTGTCATGAAAGTTCTTTAATATTTAACAAGTAAAGTCGAAAATTTTAATTACTTAAAGTTTCTACCTTTAATATGTTTACTAGAACTTAATTATTTGTATAGGCCTACTAAATGCTTAATTATTTTTATTTTGATTGATTAAAAATGAAAAAAAACAGTTAAATTAAATTAAAAAATCTAAATATTCAAGAGAAAAATTGTTAAAATAGTTCTTTTTTAAGTCTTTTTTTTAAAAAACTCATTACAAATGACGAGTTTATGGTGAAATTTTCAATTTGATTACATGAACAATTTAAAAACATTTGAAGTTTTTACATTGAGTATTCGATAGAAATTAAAGCACAAATAGGAAAACTAAAGGGCCTTTTAGTAAAATAGACATTAGGCCCCATCTCTTGGGATTGTTAACCAAATATTGTAAAGAGTTAAAGGCAGATAGGAGGTAACAGAACGACATATGGTGACTGGATGTATCATATCTGTGACTCATCATGTGCTCGTGCGTGGGTCTTAGTCCCATAGGAATTAATGTTAAAAAACCCTCCGGTTGCCATGTTAGGCCTAACTCCCATCAAATTACCGGATTGACTGTCTATACTCATGGGACATAGCAATGTTTCTGTTCTCTCCATCTGCTTGCATCAATTTTATGTTATAAGTTAATTGTTATTAATTTTCGCGAGTGATGATTGAATATAGAAGCCACGCAATGTGTGGCTTTGCATACACGTAGCTGTATCAAGTCTGTTAGTTCATTTTGCAGCTACGCCGTGCATCAAAGCCATTAGTCCCAGTGAAGGATGGACGAGCGGAGGATCGACAGTCATCATCATCGGAGACAATTTCTTTGACGGATTACAAGTTGTTTTCGGAACAATGTTGGTGTGGAGTGAGGTAAGACTATTTTTGATCGTTGTATTCCTTCGAGAAGATCCTATATCAGCTCCTCACGCTGATGCATTAACACAGGATTATATTAAATTTCCTTCTGTAGAGTGAACTGTAACTAAGTGCCATGTTTATTTCGCAACTCATAAAATTTTAATTTTTCGTTAATTAATTTAGTAGACGTCATAATAATAAAAGCCTAAAATCACTAAGCCCGAAGAAAGGATTAAATTGTTTTCTTTATAAACCAATGACAAATAAGATATTATATGATTTAAATCTATATTAAGAAATTAATGTTTTCATATTTGAAAATTGTATCTTATTTTTGATTTTGATCTCAGCTTATCACGTCACATGCCATCAGGGTGCAAACACCACCGAGACATATCCCTGGCGTTGTAGAAGTGACACTGTCTTACAAATCAAAACAGTTCTGTAAGGGAGCACCAGGAAGGTTTGTTTATGTCTGTGAGTACATTTGATAAAAATTTATTAATTTTATTAATTATTTTATTAAGTCTTATATTAAGAATTATATTTTTAGCTTTGAACGAACCAACTATCGATTACGGTTTTCAAAGGTTAGCGAAACTTATTCCTCGTCATCCTGGAGATCCCGAGAAATTACCGAAGGTATGTGTGTGTGAAAAATAAACTTAAATAAATGTAATTAATGATAATGTATTAAATCTTTTTATCTTCTTGTAGGAAATAATTTTAAAAAGGGCAGCCGATTTAGCAGAGGCACTATACAGCATGCCTCGGAATAATCAACTAGCGTTGCCTGCACCTAGGTCACCCGCCCTCAACAATGCTACGGCAATGTCAGGGTTTAACGCTTACACAGGTCAACTTGCTGTCAACGTGCAGGAAAACGGAACTGGTAAATATCATGGTTGGTATACATTTACAGTAACTTGAATATATCGTATTTATTTAAATTAATAGGATGATTTTCTTCGGGCTTCACTTTTAATATTTCGGAATCTTTTCTAGATTTTTTAACTGATGAATTTCTTTCTATCGAATTTATTATGTAAAAATAATTATTTTAAATAAATATACATTTAAAAAAAACGAATTTTTCTAGCTATTATGTAGCTTTCTAGCTATTAAAAATATCTACAATAATGATTATTCTAGTTGTTGCAACTCATCTTAACCATTTTCTATAATAATATCATAAGAATACAATAGATTAAGACGTGTAATTCAATCTAAAACTGATATGTTGTTCGTCGCATCATTATTTATGTGTATATAAAACAATAGAATGATGTATTAAACGAGAAAGAGTGACTTGAAAGCGATCTTTGGAAACAAATTTGTGATAATTATGTATGCAGATTGAGAGTTATCTAGTTAGTGTCATTATTCTAACTGTAGTAATTTACACTAATAATTATTAATTAATAATTACACTGAAGATCAGGCCCCATCGGCAAGGCCATTTACATTTACGGGAGCTTCAAAATCCTTTGTTACAAAGTACTCATTCCAACGCATTTCTTCTGTGTTAAGAAGAAAATCTTTTACTTTTTTTTTTTGTCAAATTTTATTATTTATAACATAAAATATCATTTTTAAAGTTATTTTTAATATACTAGAAACCTCGAAAATGTAACCGGTCGGGTCTCTCTTGATTACTGAAAGGCCTTGATTAAGCGGCATCGATGCGATCTTTGGAAACGAATTTATAATAATTATGTATGTAGATTGGGAGTATCCAATTATATAATCATTAGACTAACAGCAATAATTCGCACTAATAATTATTAAGTAATAATAGTACTATATGAAGAATTAGCATTAAATAAATACAGAACATAATTTCAGGCCTTTTATCTTTATGAAGCCTCTAGTATATTAAAAAAAAAACAGTATTAAAAATTGTAAAGAAAGGCAATAAAATGAATAATTTGTAAGAAATATTTTTGATTCCCCGTAAATATAACGGCTTTGTTGACACCTCTTTAATACCGACTTCATTATTTAGGCCTACACACTATGAATTTCTTTATAAGGCCTAAAATAAGGGAGGATGAAGCATCGAAATAAGTTGCTTGCATTTCAAATTACATTTAATTTCTTAGAAAATTATATATTTGAACGATTTAAACATTAAACTGTGGCAATATTTTGTTTTAATTTATTAAAGCGTATATTAGCCATGATATTAATTGGATATTTTAAATTCTTATTTCCCTTAAACTGTAATTAAAATNTTATTCTTAAATATTCTTAATATTTATTCGTAAATATTAAAGCTTAGATTACGTAGAATAACAAACAGTTTAAGCGCTGATATATCCCTTCCCGAGTATTAAAAGGGGTCCTACAGGAAATACGATAACCTTTAATCTTACTCTTTTAGATCTATCTTAAATCTGTATAAAATAAAATAAATTTAACTAATTTTTTGAACTATTTTGTATGGATTTAATTTATTAACAATGCATTAAAATACATTTATATATAATCTCAATTATAGACATTTTACGCGGATAATCAATCGGTATAAGTTCGAACACAACTCATAGACATTTATGATTTATTTCTTAATTAATACTCTTTACATAAGTGTATTTATGAACGTCACAGAGGCCCAATATTATTGTGTCAACAAATTATCCCCTCCCGACGTATTTTATAGCACATTAGAAGAATTAAAAGTAGAAACGAGTACTGTAGCTTACACAACAAATATACCTTACATAGAAAATTTTTTTTTTTCGTTTTTGTAGATTATGGTAGAGCACAGAGTAACAGCGTATCCCCTCGTGGTTATGGTTCAAATGCTTCCACCCCTCACAGTACAAATGGTAGTTCCTATGGTAGTGGTGCCATGAATGGTGGTTACGGGAGCCCAGCGAATTTAGGTAACATGCCCGTACCCGGTTCTCCCGGTCTTTTTAACGGTAAGAGAGAGTTAAGATTAGATACAAGAATATTTAAAATTAAAGATTGTATACATTATTATAGATGTACCCACCTTTATGTAAGCAGGTTCTCTCTATCCTCAGGCATGGGAGGTATCGTGTCATCACCTTTTGCCACCATGAATCCGTTTGCTCTGCCCACCTGTAACGGACAGTCCTATGGCGGCTCCATCGTCACTTCCTCCAAATAAGTGCTGCGATTCTTCTTGTACATAACTCATCTATTGCAACGTGTTCCTCTTCTTGTTTTTTCCACATCCGCCGACGAGTTGTAGATTTAATGTTATCCCTTTTTATTTCTTCATTTAAAAAAAAAAAACTATGATTATATCTATTGTAAATATGTGTTTAATTTTTGTACTCGTATTTTTACATTGCCATTGTATATAAACCTCTGCTGTAGATGTGTCTTTCGGTATATGTCTTCAAAATGAAAGTTTTCATTAAATATCTAACTTTTATCTGTAGTCTGTTGATGTCTTATACGTGCAACAAACAAAACGAATTATTTTTAATATAAATTTCCATAGACGGATGGTCCTATTTACGAAAAATCAAAATTTTACTAAAGAATATTAAGTGCTTTTATTTAAATTAAAAACGCATTCACTCTTTCTATCGTTGTTCTTACTACTTTAATCTGCCTTTAAACTCCTTAATAAGTGAAACAAATTTTACACTAGANTTAAATCCTCGCTTACTCTCACTTATAACTAAAGAACTAATAATAAATAAAAATATATTTAAATATATAATCGTTAGATTGAAAATCAAAGATGTAAAAAGTTCACAAACTATGTAATGATCTAGCTAAAATATATTTAATTGCGAGTTAGAAGAAATTAAATTAAGGAACGGGCAGAGTTTAAGAAGAGGGAAAGGGGGGAAAAAGACCAAAATCGATTAATAAAGAGATCTTTGAACGACAATACAGTTGTCGTCCAGTAATCCGTGAAATCAGTCAAGAGTTGGAGTAATCTCTTTTTTTCGTCGAAGAAAAAGACTGTTTTTAGTTGAAATCTTTCGTAATTGGAGGACAAAGATGCTTTAGGGCAAGTACAACAATAGAAGTTCTCTCTGTCTCTCTCTCTCTCCTGTCGCCATGTTAGAAAGATGTTAAAGATCACCTTCTACTACTCTACTCTTAGCGCTGTAAATCTCAAGGGAACAAGGTTGGAATCAGTAATAAAGTGTTTGATTTGAAGGGCCCACTTGCGCTACTACACGAATATCGAGCGTCGAGAAGTAAAAACCGCACCTTTACATCAGCATACAAATGCTTTGTTTTCCCTCGATGTATCTCCCTTGTGGCTCCTAAGTGATTCTCTGAAGACTTCGTCCCCTATTGAAAGCTAGAGAAACACCGGGAAATGAATATGCACTCTAGGTTTTAGCATCCATCCATTATTTAAGTGGAACTGCCGTTTGCTCTTTCCCAGGGAACCATGAGTGGGTACAAGATGCAAAATTTATGAAGAAGACCAAGATAGGAGGGCCTAGAGTGTTTTCCTTTGTCTACAATAACGCGGCATAGTCGATGGCGTCATCGTTGCAATTGTTCGAATTTTTTTTTTTTCTTTATTTAATTTGTCTTACGTACGAGTCTCGGTTTTAGATGTAAATTATGTTAAGTCCATTATTATAAACCTAGTAAATATGGGTTAATTGGACAGATATATGAATAATTGACTTCTGGATTAAGTTTATGTTTCGCATTACACACTCTCAAACATTATTGCTATTTCCTAGCAATATATTATAATTGATCAAATTCGTGGCTCTTACTCAAATTGCCCCGAATTTTATTTATTTATTTATTTGATTTTCCATTCTGTAAATAAACAAATATTAACTTTTAGATTAAAAAAATAATAATAATAAAATTTTACATCTATTCTTCGTTAATTTAATTATTTAGAGTCGATTTTTCTTTTGTATTTTTAAAATTTAATTGCACTTCTCTTCGTAATTGTTTAAAAAAAAATGGTTTTTAATTTAGTAAAATATAACTTTATACTTTAATTTTATAAGAATTTTATTAATTTAAACTCAATTTAGGCCTATATANCTATAACACTGTTGATTATTCCGTTTTATATGAATTCCATGTTGTACGAGTCACTTAGATTTTACAAATACGTGAGCCGTTCACAGCCCGGCACATGTATTTTTAAAATCTAAGTGACTCGTACAACATGGAATTCATATAAAATGGAATAATCAACAGTGTTATAGGGGGCCGACTGTACCCTGAAATTGAATACTGTATATCACTCGCTATTTAAAACTATAAATTATTCAGTAGAATATTTTTCATATATATATTTTTTTTCTCTTAAAGTAGAAATTTGTGCTATTTGAACATCGATATTCACTATATAAGGGTTTTTAAAGTAAACATAAGCATGGATCGTTAGCTTCTTTAGATCTTTAGATGCAAAAATAGACTTCTAAAATTAAAAAAAAAGTATTTAAACAAATTAGATATGTATATATATTCGTTTATCACAATACTAAAACAAGCTGTGACCTACTTTATATACAAAGAGTAACATTAAAGATAAAAAAAATCATTAGTCTCATAATGATATAAGATAAACAATAGACATAAAATAAGTAATAAATTGAAAAATAATTATTTTTATTATATATTCGAACGTGACCAAGTGTAATAAATGTGTTGAATTCATTATTTTACATACCCAAAAATTTCGTTTATGTCTTCGATCTTTATCATTCTCTCTGTTAAACGACCTTTCAACCACCTGGGTTACCTATTGTTACATAAAAAAAGAATTATCGCTTTGTATCACTTCCATCCGCTTTTTTGAATGGTAAAAAAATATATTTCGAAATATAACCGACAAAAAATGAATTCTATCAGAAGTAAAAAACTATTTTCGGAAGGGATTTACATAGTACTTAACAAACTTTCAGCTTATGGCCTATTAGTTTAAGATCTTACCTTATGAGGTTCCAAGTTATATAGCTTTGAGGCCTGGTGTTTTTAAATTTATTAATGTTTGTGGATGAAAAGGGACTTTTATATGCTATAACTTAGAGCTATAATTTTTTAAAACTATCAAACGTTTTTGTGCCGAAAACTGTCTAATTAGCAACTTTATTAAAAAACAAAACGCATTGTCTAAGATTTTACCCTTGTATTTATTTTAGTAAGAAGGAAAAAAAAAAACTCTTAACTGTATTAAACTTTTAACTCAAATTGTTCTTAGATTTAAGAAAGAATCCGATCTTAGACTACCTTATCTCGTATCCGTAGACTAATCGATGGTGGAAGAACAAATCTTCTCCACTAGATTTTTCCTTTATTTCCCCGAAAAGAAAAAGAGCCAGATACTCATTTGTCAATAAGCAAGACAGAGAATTTCTATAACAATTTATCTATTTTTTGTATAGGTTGACCTCTACGAACAATTTTATTATTGTTAAGAACACGCAGTTAAGTCCTTTATACAGATAAACTATAACATTTAAAATGACTAAATGTAGGGCTAATTTTTAATTTTCTATATTTACTGAGTTGTAATTAGCCCTATATTTACACAATTAGCACCTTTATAAAGTTGTATCTAGTAAACAAAGTTAATCAGTTTCAATAATTAGACTTACAAATGTTAACTCTACCCTTTAGTTTTGCTACCCTTTCAGAAATGAATATTTTTAATTTCACTTTCAATTAGATGTATAAATAGAAATAATTGTTCCTGTTTTATTTTCAGTTTTGTTCCCAGAAGGAAAGGAGAAATTCAAAACGTCAGAAAATTAAAAAGAAGGATCAGTGAATATTTTATCCCCTAATCCAAACACTCGACATGTGTCTAGGATGATAATCACACAAGGAACAATTTTGACAATGAAACAACAACGGATGACACTTTAATTACATAGTAAGGTCTAGCAACACTTAAAAAAACCTAACATCAATGCCACAAGGGAAAGATTAAAATCTCAGCAACGGGTGTGGTAGATACGATGCATCTCCCAAGACGCAAAGTTTGATTATTCGAAATGTCAAATAACTTAATAATCTTTTATAAATTTATATTTTCTTATATGTAGCCATTTGTAACGATAATGGATACCGTATGTAGGCCATTACATTACGCATTTGGGAATTGCAACGGAACCGAACTTCTCCCTTGGGAAGTTAACTTCCTTTTGCTTGTCGTCTATATAGAACAAAGTGGTTATCTTTAAATCAAAAAATAAGTCGATGACTGTTTACACCTATATAGTGTTTATAGACGTGCTATAGCGCAATGTCCAAGTGAGCAGTCTTCAATATACTGTACATATCCAATTACTTCCCCTAGGGTTGGACTCGCTTGACTCATCCGTAAATGGTCTTAGTGTGGAGTCAGTACGCACCTGCTCCACACCGAAATGACACACATCCTCACCTCTGCAAACATGTGGTCTGGCCTACAATGAAGTTATATATTAGCAAACTATTTATATTAACATAATTCGTTTTGAATATAATACTACTATGCTTCTAAAGGGCTTTCCCCCTGCTCATATTGTTTTTTTTTTCTATATTGTTAATGCTTCAGATTATTGATGTAAGATTGAACATTTTATAATAATATATATATATATTATTTTCTTCTTCTAAGAAATAAATCGAAATTATGCAGTATTTTAGAAGTATTCAGAGTCTCTTACTATGCATAAAGTTTTCAGATTAGAAGAATTCTCTGGAGATGAAACAATTTCAGGAGCCATACTTGATAGGTAACTGAAGACTTCATATGTTGCATACAATTCAATTTTCTTTTACTTTACTTTTATCCATTTTAAAAAGAATCAAGTAAACTTTTCATACTTTATTATATAAACTTTTTTTTTATTTATATCTATAATATAAAAATATTTTAATATTATAAATTATAATTTAATAATTTTCTTAATAACTAACTCATAAACTACAGTGAAAATTGCTTAAATTATTATATATTTGAATTTAATTTACGTTTAAAATAAGTTATTTCTATTAAGACATACAGGACCTCTCAAGGAAGAACCAACAAGCCCATTCGTTCTGGACCTCTAACACTAGTAATTATGAGGCCTATTTCTTATACATCATTCATTCTATTGAATTTTTAATAAATGAAGAAAAATAACCTTATTTTTTTTGTCAAATTTAATTATTTAATAAAATATAATACAATTTTATAACGCTGCAGGCCTCAAAAAATGAATTAAGTCTCTCACAAGAACTGAAAGGCCCCACTTAAAATAATAAAATATTTGCATTTAACAGTTTAATATAAACATAAAACTTAGAACATTATAATTTTAAACTTTATGAAGTTCTACAGAGAATTTATATATCAAGTTGTATTTATATATCAAGTTTTTACACTAGATTTTTCAAAAATTATGC